ATTTAGATTCAGAAAAGTCAGATTTAAGGCCTGATTGCAAGCTGAAATGACTGTGCAATAAACCAGGATTTGAATTTATAGTATGCCAGCTACTCTGCACTAGCTCCCCATCTGGAAAGTCTTAGTGAATAAGAGGGCCTTCACATGAAGCAGCTAATCCAGGGCTTCATGGAATTTATGCCAGCATACTTAAAGAAGTATTTTCTAAACCAGCAGTGATTAGCTTTGAGAACTCCTGAAGGGTATAAGTAGTTCCAGTAAACATAGTACATATCTTAAAATGAGCAAAAAGGAGAAGTAAGACAAACTGATCAGCCTAAGATGGTATTTGGAAAGATGCTGACATGAATTATTAAACAGTATATAAAGCCCTCAAGCATAATGAGGTAATAAGAAACAGCCATTCGGTATCCACCAAGAGATATTTTTTTTCTTTAGGGAGACTTTTGACATGCTCCACGCAATCATGGCAGTAAGTATGATTTAGATGAAATAAGTAGGGAGGCATATCTGTTTGATAAACCGTTCTCAAAGAATAATTTTGTCAATAGTCTCCTGTCAAGATGGGTACCCACAGGCCCTGATTTTTCTACTATTCACTACTTTCACTAATGTCTTAGACAATGGGATGTCGTATTTTTGAATGATGTCACACTTGGAGGCAGTGCAAGCAGGCTTAGAATTAGAAGTCTTCTTGATAAATGGGTGAAACAGTTTGAAATGCATAAGACAAAATTAAATAAAGACAATAAAGACAGTGTTTACAAAGGAGAAGTCAACTGCACAAATACCAAATGGGAAATAACTGTTAAGGCATCAATATTGTGGAAAAGACTGAGTTGGTTCCAGTGCTATACCAGAAAAATGTAAATCTCTTCTTCTGCACTAGTCAGCGCTGGCATTCAGCTACTGGACCGCACTTCAAGAAGGACAGGGACAGACTGGAGAGAGTTCAGAGAAAGCCAACAGAATAAAAAGTTTAACACTTGATTTGCTTTGTTTAGGAACATGAGAGAAAATCAAGGATGGGACGTTGTAATTGTCTTCCAGTATGTAAAATCATGTTCCTAAAAGGACTGTGCAAACTTTTCTCTGTATCCACCAAAGTTATCCCAAATAGTATCAGGTTTACTTGCAACAGATTAGCTTTATGTTAGGTGTTATGGAAAAACAAAAAAGTGCCATAGCAATGTAGTCAAGCGTTTGAACAAATTACCTAGATAAACTGCGAAATTTCCACAACTGACAGGTTTGGAGAAGAAACTGATTAAAGCCTATTCATGTTGTTTACTTATACCTGACCCTGTCTCATAAATTAACTGTTGGGAGGTCTATCATCCCAGCATTTCTGCAATAACATGAGTATGGATTCTTAATGCTTAAAATTTATTTTAGTCCATGCTAGTAAATGAGCTTCTATTTATTAATATCTCTTACATATCTCTTTTGACTTTTTGGAGGGGGAAACAATCACTTCTTCACTCATTTGTTTTCATGTGCCATAATATAAGCTGTGTAATTTAAACTAGTTGCCACTAAGTCTACCATTTTTAGTACTAACTTTGATTCTAGCTCTAAGCAAGGCTCGCAGATTGAAGGAAACCTGTTAATTCTCTTTCATTAGAACCTTTCCATCTTCACGTCAAAGCAATACACTTTCACGTAAGTGCGACCAATGAGTATTTCTGCGGGATAAACCATGAAACTGAAGGGTACTTCATACAGTCTTAAAAACCGTGAGATAAATCATTGCTAGAGAGACCCATGTGTTTATATGTATCATTGATAGCTTGGCATTTTGGACATATAGAATATGCATATGTAATATTTTCTACTTTCTTTCAGGGCTGTTTTGCTGTGCAACAGTTTATTCCTGTGAAAAAGGAAGCTTGATATTTGATTTGATATTTTCTGTGATGTGCAACAAAGTTCCACTTCATTTGTGAACTGACAAATATCATACTTCACCCATTCGCAACTGGAATAGTGCTCTAAAACAATCCTGATAATCTTGCTCTGGTATATAAAAAAGAGCAACTCTCAGTCTACAAAGAGAAAGTGCCCTGAATATAACCACCTGTAGACAATAATTCTCGTTTATCTTCACTTATTCCTCTTTCCATTTAGGCTTCTTCTATTAATTATTTGAGAAAATATACAACATATTTTCCTAGGCTACAGCCAACCTATTTCATAGATTTTTTTTATATATAGAAAATTGCAGCACTTACTCATCTTATCTACATCTGCTGTATTTCAGTATTAACATAGGAGCTGTAATTTAGTATGAGAATGTACTTGTTAAGAAAATCCATATAGGACTTTAATTTTGATATTAAAATCTAATGATCATTAAGAGAATAGGGTGACTATCTGAATAGATTTTCGTGATTTCTCTTAGTGCATTATGTAATGGAAATGAAAAGATGTTGATTTTTTTCCTCACCCTTTGAGTGCAGATAAATGACAGGCTAACCTGCCCATCCGTGTGGAGTACAGTTTGAGCTAAAGAAAGACGCTCTGTCTTAAAAATGTACCCCTTCACAACGGCAAATGTATAAAATGTTTTTAATGTTTGTGACTGTGGAAGTGAGAAGACTCTGAGAAACAGGGTATGCAATATGAAGTAAAGCACTCCTCAAAATAGAAGGGTGAATTCAAGTTAATAGCGCTATACAACGCTAAGGCACAGTAGGCGAGATGGAAGAAAGGTTTTATTTTAGTGGTGAGGTATGGGGAAGAACCTGGACCCAAAGACATTACGCAGGTAATATTCAGGCTAAGCGCAGCATTCAGATGTGCTCCACTACTATAACTTTACCATGACTACCGCTCTGGTAGTGGGACATAGCTGTGTGTTTTTTTAGGGCGAGATGAGGATATTCTTTGCCCAAATCAGTGCTTCTCAAATTTGTATTAAAAAAAAGTTTGTGCGAACTGGACTTCAGTTTGCTTTGGTTAATGGTTGGCCTGGAAGAAAAAACAAGTAATTGTTTGCTCCTAAGGCAAGAGGAACAGCTGTCAGAGCAAGACGATATATGGCATGAGATGTGCCACTTGCTTTTGCCTGTCATTCACCTTGGAAGGGCAGAGGCGATTTAGTCCCAGTTAGCTCTTTTTGGCATGTGTGGGAACATGTGTTTGGTAATGGAGCAGCGAATCCTAAAAGGGGCTAGGAGAATTCATCTGGAAAGGAGCTTCTAGCACAAAGTAACCTGGAGGAGACAGGCAAATACTTCTCTGATCAGAGGAACTGTTTTGGTGTTTTGCACTTTTGGTATGTCTGTAGTGATGTTTAATGTAGACATTGAGGTCAAGCTCAGCAAAAGCGAGCAGGCTCTCTGTGTATAGTGCGGCATAGGGAGTTGGAGTGGGCAGGAATGACCAAGAGTGATTGCTGCTGGCAGACTTCCTGGGTGTAAGGCCTGCAATTTCATACTGCAAACAAGAGGATAAGTTAGGAAGGTGGTGGGGATATAAAATGAGGGAGGAGACGTGTGGTAGGGATGAGCAGGTTGGCTTTGCAATTCCGAAAGGCTTCCAGGCTTGGGTTGGACTGCAACCAGGACTTTTTTTTACAGGGTTTACTGTGCAGATGATTAGTGGGTTTGGACAGGAGAAATGTATCAAGGCTGACCTGAACTATCAGAGTAGACACAACTTTCGTGGGTTTTATATCTGAAGTATTAAACTGTTCCATAAGGGAAGATTTTGTAGAGAACATACATACAGTGTTAGATTGGCAGCGTAGCAGAAACTAAACTTCTTTTATTTTATAACCTTATTTACATGTTCATAAGGTTAACAAGACTTTAATCCATTTTCCTGTAAACTATTTAGTTACATTCAGTTATTTTTGTCCCTCCTTCTTACTATAAGAATCCAGTGTTTCTGGACCATACCATACCTTCTTTCCACATGCTGAACCAGTATAGCCACTTCTGCAAGCGCAGACATTTGGTCTTATGCACCTGCTTCCAAACGGACATTTTTGCTCACAAAGTGCTACAAATGAAAGAGAAAGTTGTTTAGAAGTACACTTATTGTCGGGTTCATAATTAGGATGGAAATACGCAGACGCTTTTGAATAGGACGTGACAAAGCTTCTTATGACTCTGTACTTTCGTATGATGGAGAAAAAGATAAATAGTAAAAATATGTAGGGGTTAAAAGTTGTTTACTATAGGTTTTTACACACCTATGTGTTTGTTTAGATTGTATATTTAGATTTTTCTTTCTTTATTCTGGTCCTCTTCTAAATGATGGG